ACATGTAGATGAATATGCATAAGTAGGTGTCTTAGTTCAGGCTGTTATAACAAAGTACCATAGACTAGGTGGCTTACAGACATATTTCTCACAGTTCTGGGAGCTCGGGAGTCCTAGGTGAGAGTCCCTCTTTCCTGTTATAGACTGCTGTCTTCTTGTATCTTCACATGGCAAAAGACGGACAAGAGGACAATACCTAGATGAATTTGTGATGAGGAGTCAGCCACAGGACAAATTCAGCCAGCCAACATTTATTAAAAACTCACTGAACTCCAGGGTTTCCAGACGGTGTCATAACTAAGTTTCACAACTGATCTGTATTCAGTAGGTGTGAAAACTAAAACTGCCTGGTTATTAAGCTGTGTGGCCAGACCATAAACCCATCTTCTTCCGTCAGGTTCAGCCCTTAAGCACACATGCCACAGAGTCAAAAACAACCTGAGTTTGAGTCTTGCCTCAGCTATTTACTCATGGTGTGCTGTATGGAAAATTACTAGACCTCTGTGTGTCTCAGAATCTTCCCCTACCTCATGGAGTGGCTACGAGGATTAAGAAATCAGCCACAAGCAGTACTTGCTTAGAACAGTGCTCTCTGCTCAATGCCTGTGGCTAGCTTTGATCACAATTCTGCAGACACTTCAGGTTCCAGAGAGATCTTTAGAAGTTCCACAAATGTTTGATTTAAATGCTGTTAAAAATATTTTTTACTACTTAAAATACCTTAATAAAAAGAAACATATATTCATGCAATGTATACCAAATTTAACATATATTCTCACTTTATATGTTAATTTGTGTTGCCAGTTAACTTTTTGTACATAGACAAAGCAAAACTTTTCTAGCTCTTTCTGTTCATTTAAAAAAATTGCAGAGAATTCAAAGTAAGCAGATAAAAAATAATTCTTACCATTGGTAACCACTCAGCTGTGTGAATCAGAATTATCTTGACACTGCAACTGAAGTAAAAACAATCTAAAACTGGAGGCTAAAGTGGACATAAGATTCTCATCTCTAATATTGTGTTAATCAGAAAATCATTATTATTCCCATTGACTGACTTTACAATAAGTAAATGTTAAAAAAATTTTTTAAAGCCTTTATATGAAAATGACTCCCTTTCTTCTGTTTTATATATTTAAAGTTTCATGTAAATTTTCGTTTGGAGCTAAGAAAGACATTTTTTGGCAAAAACATTTAACTAGCGCTTAACTTGACAAGATCTGCCTCTTTGGACTGGGGCTTTTTTTTTTTTTAGATCAAGGCTTGATTCTTATGTACCTTGTTTGAAAATTAGACTCTGATCATTAGGTCAAGACAAAGAGTTACCCAAGCAGAGTTTTTCATTCTCCTCTACTCTCCCACCAACATCATGATGCTCTCACGGCCTTAATAGATATTTTCTCCTTTTATCTTCATAATAATCTTTTGAGTTTGTCAGGCAGTTGGCATTAGTCTCATAAATGAAGAAGGTGAATGAGACTCAAAGAATATAAATGTTTCTCAATTTCATACAACTAAGCAAGTGGTAGGATCAAGACTCAATCAGAAGACTTCTGACTACTGATCCAGAGCTTTTTTCCACCTGTTTTGATGTCAAAGATGGCTGGGATTTTGGGGTTGGGCTTTGGGAGTTCAGAGGTGACCCTTCAGCCACTGCTGAAGCTGACGGAGATGCAGCCTGACAAAATATATCTTATTCCTTGTCTGCTTTTCTATATGTTGACTAGGCTTCCTAGTGATTAACAAAAGCAATGTAGAAACTCGAGAAATGTTTTAATATATTGTTTGGACTCTGTCTCACTTTCTGCAAGAGTCATCTGACATGATGCCTTGCTACGAAATCCACACCTAGGTCTCAAACTCAGTGCTGGTTGATCTCCTAGGGTCTATGCCCCGTGACAGCAGGGACAGTACTAGATATTTGTGTGTATAGCACGTAGAGGCATCTAATTCTTACCTGTTAACAAATGTATGATGAAGTCAACTATCATTCTCTATCTGTTGGGGTTTTTTTGGATATTTTTTCCTTTTGCTACCACTGTTTTTGGACCATTATGGTAAGCATATCACAAAGTTCCTTGGTAACTCTTGACATTTTGGTACTGCCTTCCTCAGATTTTTTCTGCATATTGTCATCAGTGTAATCTCAAAGCATCCAGTAATGTTTCTCCAGCACCTCTCAGAACAAGGCCCAGATTATCCTCCTAGGATTCAAGTTTCTTCATGAAATAGGCATGCCTTATGAATAGACGTCTGCTCTTGTCTCATTGCCATCGCTGCAGTCCCCTCTCTACATAGCGCATGCTCATTGCTGCTTTGCGTCTCTGCCATTGCTTGTCTGTTTGCCAGGTTTCATTTCTCTACACAGATCCAAATTGTACCCATGATTTCCTGCCTAATTCAACTCTAATTTTCTATGATCCCTGCCCCAGTAATTCTAGCCCTTAAGAATTTTTATAGCACAAATTTTGTACTTAATGACACTTGTATTATTCCATGGATTAGTTAGTCCAATTTCTGAGGCCATAGGCAACCATGTAAGATATTTAAATTGTACCCACACTGTCTTACCTTCCCACACTGTAGACACCCACTAAATTGAAGGAAATGTATAATAAAGTAATTTATAGATTTAACTAATTGAAATCATCCCAAGGCACAGAGAGAACAAACCAACAAACATATTCCCGAGACATGTCTAATTCATGTGCCATAGTTATCTTGAGATAATTTTCCACTGTACTTTTAATAAAAGAGACACCTACATTATAATTTTATAGTTTGCTTTTGTTTTTCCTCTTTGAGCATTGTCATGGTTATTAATATTTATTAAATGAAATCTGTACTGAAGCATATGTAACCACCCAAGAATGAACTTATAGCAAATGTTTAACTGTCTGCCTGCCTTCGAACTGGTTAATCAGAATGAGTGATGCATTAGCTGGTCAACTCCTTTCACCTGGAAAGATCGCTATCGATTTCCTTTATTGTGATCTAAAAGATATAAGGAAAGTCCAAAAGCGTTTCAAAAGATTTCAATAAGTAGGACGTAATTCTGCTTTTCATAACCACTGAATGAAAAAAAAACTAAATACAAAAAAAAGATTCTTTGAGTAAACTTCTGTCATTCTCCACTTGTTATTGTATTAAAAAAATCAACTATAATATGAGTGAAAGAAAAATTCTGCCTTTATGTATGAAATGAGAAGAAGAGAGGTGCTGTAGGTCATTAATAACAGGGGATGTTTTGTACCTGTTCTGGAAGACGAATATGCATTTTGTCTTGGAGCCAGTCCATAAGTCAAATTCCTTTAAAACAGGCAGAGGCCAGCCTGGTTCTGGCTGCAGCCTGCACAGCCAGAAAAACAGAGGAAGAAGGGCCTACAACCAGCATAAAGTGTTTTCCACTTTGATATGTAAACATTCTTCCTTCACCTGAACTTGATGTCAGGGTAACTAAAAAACAAGAACCTTGTGGATGAAGCAGAAACAATCTGTTGTATTCTTCTGTTTTTCAAAACCAGAGATAATCAAGGACTGTTATTTCAGATCCTGGCTGACCTAACTTTTAAGTTAGGAATCTAAGATAACTGGATAGTTAGGAATCTGACTAGGAATCTGAGATAACTGGATAGTGTGTGCATATTTTTAAAAAATCGACCTGCCTCTTCAAAATCAGACTTAGCTGATTTTTTTGTTGTTGTTCTCTTTATAGCCTTTTTTTTCCTTTTTTCTCTGTATTCCAGGCTCCTCTGTTGTGTGGGATTTAATCTATTGGGTGGGAGTAAATGACGTAAACTGTACTCATATTTGCAAAAAGCCCAAAAAAGATGTTAAGGCTGTTAACAACATAGCATTCTACCCTACAGTTGAACTGGAATAGGTGACTTGAGACAGAAATCCATGAAAATTTTATGAAGTTTTCCTTAAACGTCTAATTGAAAATTGCTAGTTTGTGTTACTGTTGATTCATTTCATTTAAGTCTTGGCCCTGTAGATTCTATTGATACCCCATTCTTGGGGATGAAAAACAATGTTAAACGCACACATTTTTTAGGAAAACAGGCTGGGTGGGAGACAAAAGACTTTGTTACACACCCTAGTGCATTCTTGTGCAATGCAATGGTCAGCATTTCTGTATCTAAACACCAAGAAAATACAATAAAAATATACTATTACAATCTGGGACCACTATCATACATGCAGTCTTTCTTAACCAAAACACCCTTATGCCGTGTATGGTTGTGCTGGAAAGGAGGAGCACTCGTCCTCTCCAGGCACATGCAGTGTGCCTCAGTACTCATGACTCCTGCCGTGTTCCCAGAGCTGAGCTCATTTGTTATTGAAGTTGCTTTTCTTATACCCAGCCCACTTTCCCATTGAAGTTCCTGCTTATTCTATGCGGGCATTTTCATTTATCACACGATATCCCTAGTCTGAGATTTCATTTGAGGCAAAAAAAAAAAAAAAAAAAAAAAAAACTTCTGCTGCTAAAAGTAATTTGAAAACTCCTAGACAAGAGGACCTTTCAAATCCCTTACAATTCTAACCAGTGAATTCATGCTTCACAGCCATTCAGATCTATACGTATGAAATACAAGATGTGTGTGTTCGACTTTCCTGCATTGCCTCCTTTAAACTTTCTTTTTTGAGTCAATCCCTGCAGGAACAGACCAAGTGAGCCCATTAAGAGAACAGTTCATTCCCACCTGCCACCTCGAGCCAGCCAACAATCTCAGCCTCACCATTCCATTCTTGATTATGTAGAACCATTCCAATCCTGAGTGACAGGATTTGCAAAGACAGCTGTTGGGCTCTACAAACATTTGGAGGAGGGGAAAATGTGAGGTTGGTTGCTACATTCTCCTACTTCTTTTTACTGAAAGGAACAGCTGCGATCTTCACATGTAAGACGAAGTAAACAAAAGCTGACAATGTGCAGCACCATTCAACAGTAAGCATTCAAATGGATTTTTCCTCACCATGTTTGCAGGCCCGGCACAGTTTCAGTTCCCCACAGCACAGAGAGGAAGCGAGGTCTTTGCATGCCCCGTTCCCTTGGCCTAACACTGCCCTAGATGTGCAATTCAACCTGGATAAAGCAAGCGTTATTCAAGAGCCCTGACTCACTATTTCATGATTACTTATTACCCGCACACGGCATTGTCAGGTTCCAGCAACCCTGTGTGTACCACGCAGAAATGCAGTGTTTATCTCTGAGAGGCAAGCATTCTTAAACTCACTGCATGAGCAGCCATGCTGAACTGACTATCGGGGAAGTAGGTCCCTGCGTGGGAGAGTCAAGGTATGTTTGGAGAGACTCGATGATTCAACCCCGTGGCTGGCTTATTTCTTTTGTTCCTCTGCTTTTTTATTTGCTCACACAGAAAATAGAGTATCATTTATTTCTTTTCCCACCCTCATCCTTCTTAACCGCTAGGGCCATCTGCCCATCTGAAACTGTCTTTGGCTCCACAGTTGTGAATTCAGGTGACAGTCAAAATGAAGAAGTGGTGATTGTCCCTGCATGTTTTCTCTGAAGGGTTAAAA